CTCCCTGAGGCCTGGTGTCTGGCTCCCTGAGGCCTGGTGTCTGGCTCTCCTCTGTTAATCTCTCCTTGCTGCTCTTTCTGCACCCTTGGCTCTTCTGGGGCCTCGGGCTGTGGCGGCCCCTGAAGCCTAGCATCTTCTTGCTGCTGCCTGCCTTGTCTGGCCTGCTGGGCAGGAATTGAGCTGCCCGCTGCACCCACGGGGAGCCTGCTGCCAGCATCTGTCCAGCTTACTTGCTGAGCGGGCAGTGAGTTTGCTGGTGCCAGGTGGGAGATGCACTGTGGAGGGAGGTGAGGCTTCAGGAAGAGGGGAGGATGGAGGGGCTACAGGGGCTGGTGGCCAGAGAGAAGATCCTTGAGCCCTAGAAAGCAGCAGTGGCCTTAGGAGCAGTTCAGAGACAGGGACCAGGGCCTGGCTTCCTTCCTTCCTTCCTTCCTTCCTTCCTTATCTCCTCCCTTATCTCCTTCCCTTCCCTTTCCTTCCCTTCCCTTTCCTTCCCTTTCCTTTCCTTTCCTTTCCTTTCCTTTCCTTTCCTTTCCTTTCCCTTTCCCTTTCCCTTTCCCTTTCCCTTTTCCTCCCTTTCTTCTTTCCTGCCTTTCACCTTCTTTCCTCCTTCCTTCCTTTCAACTTCCTTCCCTTTTTCCTCCTTCCTTTCACCTTCCTTCCTTCCTTTCACCTTTTTTCCTCCTTCCTTCCTTCCTTCTTTCTTCCTTCCCCCTTCCTTCTTTCCTCCTTCCTTCCTTTCAACTTCCTTCCTTTTTTCCTCCTTCCTTTCACCTTCCTTCCTTCCTTCCTTCCTTCCTTCCTTCCTTCCTTCCTTCCTTCCTGTTCTGTACTTCATCCCACCTCCACCCCTTCAATGTGCAGAGGAAGAAGGGGGGCATTCTGTGCTAGATGCTTCATGGTCTCAGAGGTGGACTGGTCTCTGTCCAAGCCTCTCCGTGTTCCTGTTTCTTTCCTGCTCAGCTGCTTCTGCAGCTGGATCCCACCATCTTCTTCTTGCTACCTTCATCTTGCTCATGAACCCTTCCCTGTATGTGTGTGTGGGCGTGTGGGTGCATTTGTGTGTGTGTGTGTGTGTGTGTGTGTGTGTGTGTGTGTGAGGGGGGGGAGGAAGAAGGGGAGGGGTCGGTGAGTCCCACAGCTCTAGGCCCAGGGTGATAGAGAGAAGGGGGGAGGGCATGGCTGTGGTCCCTGAGGACAATGGGATGGAAGCCAGAGGACCCCGGGCCTGAGCAGTAGTTGGACGATCCCCTCTGCTCTAGGCCGACTGGGGCCTTCTTTCACTTGCTGGTCTGTTTCCCTCTGGTCTGGGCCAGCTTGTTGGTCAATAGTGGCCTAACCTGCCCTCCCTGACCTTGGCCTGCCCTCCTTCTCAAGCCGGGTTCCCCCAGAGGGTTGCCTAAGCATCCTTGCCTAGGTGACGGAACTGGGCCCTGGCACTGAGAGCAGAGTGAGGCAGCTTTGGGAATTAGGCGAGAGTGACTCAGATAAAGTAGCCTTGCAGAAAGGCTCTGGTCTGCTGGCCTTCAGAGAGCGGGAGAAGCTACTTCATTTAGGACCAGTCTCTCTCCCTGTCCCCAAGCTCTGAGAGCTCGTGGTCAGCGGCTGTTAAGGAACTGAGCCTGTCAGTGGCCAGTCTGGGAAACGCCCCCTCTGCTGATGCTGCTGTAAGGCCAGGGCAGGTGGGGCACTGAAGAGGACAAGCCAGAGAGACAGAAAGGCAGCCTTGCAGCAGCCAAGCCAGGCCCGTTCCCAGGGAGGAGTGGAGGCTTGACTCCCACCCGTGGGCTAAGTGCAGGGTGGACGAGTGTGGAGTCTAGAAGAAGACATTGACTGCAGTGTGTGTGGGGGGTGAATCCAAGAAGACTCCCTGGAAGCTGTGACTGAGCCCAGGATGGGTGAACATGGTCCCTGGGGACAGTGGGGTAGGGGTAGGCTTCTTTTTCAGTTTGGGGGGGTCATCTCTAAGCTGCCTCTCTTTGGCCCCCGACCCCTCCCCAATTCCTGCGCCCAGTCTCACCCTTGCTCTCTCTGTCTTTCTCTCCCCTCGTCCTTGCACTGCTGGCTCGGTGGTGTCCTGGGAGCAGAGGAGAAGCCTCGACCAAAGTGAGTGGAGCTTCCTCATGGGGGCCTGCTGGAGGTGGGGGCAGGGAGGAAGGGAGGGAGGGGCATCCCCAGATTCCCCCAGAGGAGGAAGGACCTGAGCCTTCCAACAGCCCCTAGGGGTAGATACCACCCCAACCTCTAGTGCCATTTTACAGATGAGCAAACTGAGGCTCTGAGAGCTACTTAAGGGTGGGAGGTCTGGGTCCTGTACCCAATACCCCTTTTGTGAATGACCTGGATAAAGGCAGAGATGGATAGCCGTACAGGGGATGCTGGGCTGGGAAGGAGAACAGACGAGTAGCCATAGACAGCTGAGTCAGATCGTCAAAGCCCCAGCTACGGGCATAAACGGTGCAGTTTATTCTTGGACTTCCAGGCTGTGAGATGCTGGGTCACAGAATGGGTTATGACCTGATATGGGGAAGGAGCTTCGGCATCGGGCCTTCTCTAGGTCAATGAAACCATGGGTCTGGTTAAAAAAAAAAAGTTTTATATTTGGATTCAAAAAATCAGCTATCTAAGTAGAGGACCAGAGAGTTATGGGTAATTAAGTATTCATTCAGAAAAGATCTGGGGATTTCAGTGGGCCACAAGCTTAGTAGGAATTAATGGTGTGATAAAGCAACCCGGGGAACCAGAGGCATCCGAGGCTACATGAATGATGACACTTGTTGGTCAGTCGTTTTTCACTCATGTCTGACTGTTCCTGACCCCATTCGGGGTTTTCTTGGCAGAGATACTGCAGCGGTTTGCCATCTCCTTCTCCAGCTCTTTTTATAGATGTGAAAACTGGGTGAAGTGACTTGCCCAGGGTCACACGTCTAGTGAGTGTCTGAGGCCAGGTTTGGGCTTGACTCCAGGCCCGGCACTCCATCCACTGCACCACCTAGCTGCCTGTTAGCTAACATCTTAGCTGACAACCCCAGCCCAGCAGCTGACATTTTAACATGCCTGCCACTGCACCGAGTGTTTCACAAATATTATCTCGTTGAATCCTCATCACAGCCCTGGGCAGTGGGTGCAGCTATTATTCCCATTTTATGGTTGAGGAAACTGAGGCAAACTGAAGTTAAGTGACTCTCCTAGGGTCAAACAGTTAGGAAGTATCTAAGGCTAGATTTGAACTCAGGTCTTCCTGACTCCAGGCCCAGCTCTCTGTGAACTGAGTCATCAGCTGCTTCTGTAACATTCAGGTCATTTCGTCAAATAATCAGCATTCGTTGTGCTAAAGGCTGTGGATGGGGATAGGAACTGGCCTGTTCCATCAGGGGCACTGGGAACCCATGGTGAAAAAATCCCTCTCCCAAGGCAGGCGGGGTTCCACTTGGCCCCTTGCCACCACAGAGGGCGCTCAAGAGCACTCAGGGATGAAGGCCCTGGCCCAGGGTCACCCAGCTGAGAACAGGTCTTCAGCCTCTGAGGCCGGCTTCCCAGCCACGCACGTGGTCCCTCCGTGCAGGCACTGTGGGGGTCGGATGGAGCATGGGCCAGGTGTCAGGGACGTGTTTGCTCCTCGAAGGAATGGGGAGCCACCAGGGTTTACTGAGGGAGAGACAAGCCTGGCGGACCTGTGGCCGTGAGGGGATGGACTTCAGAGTAGAGACAGAGAGATGGCGGCGATGACCACGTAGACGTGGAGAGATGTCAAGGAGAGGGGCTGGACGAGGCTGGGGAGCAGCTTGGCCATGGGGGCTGAGGGAGAGGGAGGAGTCCAGGAAGATGCCAGGGTGAGGAGCCCAGGGGACTGGGCGATGCCTTGTTACAGAGGAAGCTTCTGGGACAGCGGCTTTCTGGAAAAAGAAGGGCTTCTGGAGGAACTTATTGGCTTGGAGGGGCCTGTGGGACATCCAGGCCAGAATGCCCAGTGGGCAGTGAATGATGTGGGCCTGGAGGCCAGAGGAGAGGTGGGTCCAGATGGACAGATCTGGGCATCATCCGTATGAAAATGGCTGTCATGCCCGTGACAGCCGAGGAGATCCCAGAGAGAGAAGGTGAGGGGAAAACCATGAGTGTCCCCCGAGCCCAGTGAGGACAGAAGACATCGGGGGAAAGCATGGCCCACGGTGCCCAGGGCCATGTGTGATCAGGAGGGCCTGAGGCCTGACAAGAGGCCCACAGACTTGGCAGTTCAGAGTCTGTTAGGAATCTGCAAGGGAGGAGCTTCAGCTGGGATTAGGCCCCAGGCCAAGGGCTGAGGAGGGTGGGAGGAGAATAGAGTTAGTGCTGAGGGACTGGGAGGTTTGGGGGTATTGTAAGGATTGAGGAGAGGCAAGCACATTGGTTAGCCTGCCAAGGGAGAGAGGGCAAGAATTTGAGGGAGTGGGGGATGTGAGAGAGGACAACCTGACAGAGAAGAGGGGAAGGGAGGGAGGGGGCCAAGGGTGTGTGTAGATGGCCATCCCTCTCTTAGAGAGGTGTGTGTGTGGGGGCAGCCTTGGGGAAGACGGCCATCCCTCTGTTAGAGAGGTGTGTGTGTGGGGCAGCCTTGGGGAGGACAGCCATCCCTTTGTTAGAGAGGTGTGTGTAGAGGGGCAGCCTTGGGGAGGATGGCCATCCCTTCCTCAGGGAGGTGTGTGTAGGGGGGCAGCCTTGGGGAGGACGGCCATCCCTCTGTTACAGAGGTGTGTGTAGAGGGGCAGCCTTGGGGAGGATGGCCATCCCTCTGTTAGAGAGGTGTTTGTGGGGGGGGCAGCCTTGGGGAGGATGGAAACCCCCCAGAACCTAGAGGAATGGAAGAATGAGAGGAAGGTCATGGGGGACAAGAGGTTCTGAGAGGAGGGGGAAGGGCAGAGATGAGGAAGCTCAGAGTAAACAGCCACTATTTCTCAGCTGGGGAGGATGGGGGTAGGGGTCTCCAATAGAAATCAGCTCTGTGGGGAAAGTTAAGGCATTGCCTTTACAGCAGCAGGCCAGTGAGTTGGTAAGCATTCAGTAAGCACCTACTATGTGCCCAGCACTGTGCTAAGCCCCAGGGATACAAAGAGAGGCAAAAGATGGGCCCTGCCCTCACGGGCTCCCAGTCGAATGAGGAGAGGCATGTAAAGGACTGTGTACAAACAAGACAGGGGTGGGTTGAGGGTAGTCTCAGAGGGACCAGGAAAGGCTTTTCCTAGACGGTGGGCCTTGCAGGAGGCCGAGGAGGACAGGGATAGGATCACAGGAGCACAGGGTGGGCGTGGCCCTGGCTTGTGGGTTGGTGATGGGACAAAGGGTTCCACAGCGCGATGCTGAACTGGCTGAGGTACCAGGACCGGGATGGGAGGAAGGGAAGCTGAGCACAGGAGACAGCCCAGGAGGGAGCCCTGGGAGCGCACAGTGTGGAGTGGAGGGAAGAGGCTCAGGCTGAGGGAAAGGAAGGTCCAGGCAGGCACCGAGTGCTGAAAGAATTTCAGAATCCTGGCCACAGAAGGACAACACGCGTGGGCAGTGCTGGTGAGGCCGTGGTTAGGATGAAGGATGTTGGCATCCCCCTGGCCATGGCTGCGGGGGTCACCACCCATCAGGGCCTGGTGGCTGAGGACTCTGGTGAGCTGCAGAAACCCCCCAGGACAGGATGATGATGGGAAGGTCTGGGAGACTAGACCCTGTGACGAGCAGAGGAAAGTGTTTGGCCTGGAGGAGAGAAGACCAGGAAGTGACCTGCGGTGGGGATGGCATGAAGGATCTCTGGAAAGCAGGCTTGTTCCCTTCTGGGTCCTGGGGCAAAGATGGGAGAAACAAAGAGGGTGATTAAGGCTTGGGTCAGAAAAAGCGGGCAGTCTTTAAGCCTTGTCAGGGATTCCTGCTTACTTATGGACTGGATGGGAGGCTGGGGAAACTGAGGCTCAGAGAAAGGGAAGGAAGTGATCAGGTGGAGTGACGGGCAGCGTGGGAGGTGGCACGGACAGCCTTGGACTTGCCCTGACTGGACCCATTTTATAAAACGAGGGGGCTGAACTAGGCAGTCTCTGAGGTGCCTCCCAGCTCTGAAGATCTTTGAGTTTGAAGACCCCTCCCAGGCCTGATGTTCCAAGCTCCTCACTCCTTTCCCCAAGTGCTAAAGTGGTAACCTTCTGAGTTCTGTGACGATAAATGAGACGTTTAGGATGGGCATGGATTTTTGCTGTCTCTTGTGCCCTCTGCTGGACATGGTCAGAGGTGCAGAAGAAAGCAATTAGAGGTGGGAGGGAGCTCGGACCCTCCTTGTACAAGTGGGGAAATGAGGCTCGGTCAGAAGCTGACTGAGGCTGCAAAGATGATGAGAAGTCTCCTCACTCTCCTCTTTCCCACAGACTCACTGCTCCTAAGATCCCAGAAGGAGAGAAAGTCGATTTCGATGTAAGTTTTCCTGGCTATTCGTCAGTGCCCGCTTGGCCTCTCAGCCGTCTGGGGCGGGCAGCAGTCTGGGGCCTTTCTGCAGCCAAAGCTTTGGAGGGGGGCAGCTGAGTCCCAGAGGAATGCACCCTAACCCTCCACATGAAATTCCATCTGGATGTCTCTGGGCCAGGAGCAGAGTTTCCACAGGGTTTTGTTTGGTGTTTTTGTTTTGAGCTATTTTTTCGATTCTCACCCAGCCTGGAATGTGAACTTCTGCTATGAAGTCTGAAATTTTCTTCCTGCTCTCCCTTTCCACCACCACCTTCTGATCCTCCCTTTAGCTCTCATATTTTGACCCTTTCTTTCTCTGTCCCTCTTGATTTATTCCCCTCAGGTCCCCTCCCTCCCTCCCTCTCCTCCTTCCTTCCTTCTTCCATCTTTTCATCCTTATTAGTCCTAACCACTCTGCAGGCCATACTCTTGCAGCACAGAAGACTCCTGAAGTCCTGAAAGCTGTTCCTTGGTGTGTGTGTGTGTGTGTGTGTGTGTGTGTGTGTGTGTGTGACAGAAAGTCCCAGAATTGAAACCTGGGTCTGGGTTCTCTGGTCACTGGTGCTGGCTCTGATAGGGAGAGGGCATTTCTGGGCACAGGGAAGGGGAGATTCGACAAGACAAAGACTGACCTGGAGAAAAGAATCTCAGACTACCAAGGCTTTGGAGATGCCAGGAAGCCCAGCTGGCACCAGCCTGAGAAGGGCAGCCCTGCTAGCGAAGGCTGGCCATGAGCAGCCTGGAGAAGGGAACGCCTTCAAGTAGCTGAAGCCGTCCCGGGGTGAAGAGGTTGGGGGAACTCTGCTTGGTCCTCGGGGTGGGGGTGCAGCATCACTGGTGCAGCAAAGCCAGACCTCCCAGGCCCAGCTGTTGAGGAGTTTACATTCTCCTGGGAGGACACAGCTTTTTAGCGGTCAGAGCTATACCCCCAGTGAGGAAGTGAGCTCCCCCTCAATAGAGATCTATATCAGAGAGCCTGCCCTGGGGGTGCCGGAGGAGGGGAAGCACTTAGGCACCTCCCAAACATTGGGTTGTTTGAGCCTGTTCTGAGCGGGAGTAGTCAGGAGAACCTTCATGGAGGAGGTGTGTGTGTGGAGGGTGGGTGTGCTCACGGCTCCTGGGCCTCAGCTGACAAGGAGGGTCTGACTGACCTCTGACCTCTCCTTGTGGCTCCCCAGGACATCCAAAAGAAGCGGCAGAATAAGGACCTGATTGAGCTTCAGGCCCTGATTGACAATCACTTTGAAGCCCGGAAAAAGGAGGAGGAGGAGCTGATTGCTCTCAAGGAGAGAATCGTGAGTCTGGGCTCCGGGCGGGGCGGTGAGGAAGGATGAGGGGCCCAGGCTGAAGCATCCCGTCCATCTGTCTGTGCCCCCGACAGGAGAAGCGCAGAGCCGAGAGAGCCGATCAGCAGAGAATCCGGGCAGAGAAGGAGAGAGAGCGGCAGAACAGACTGGCTGTGAGTCCCTGTGCCGGGCCTGGGCTGCCCTCGCCCCAGCCCTGACCTCCTCCCGCCTCAGCCTTCCGTCCCTCAGTATCCTCCCTGGAGCCAGAGCTCAGGGGAGGCTCTTCCCCAGGGGCCCTCGGGGCCCCACGGTGGTCTGCCAGCCCCATAGAACACACGTAACATGGCACAGCCAGCCCCAGCCTGCTCCCTGCAGGCTCCTGTCTCTGCGGAGTCCCGCTCTGCCCCTGCCATGCCACTGCCACATTGCCCTCTGCAATCGGTTAGCGGAGGGGCGGGACCCGACGTTCTTGGGGCCAGGCTTCTCCTTGTGCCAACGCAGCTGCCCCCAGCCGGGGCAGGCTGTCCTAGGGAGCCACAGCTTTCGCAGAGGACGTCTGTGGCACTCCTCCTGTTCACAGAGGGTGCCCACCCCTCCCCACCCCCACCTGACCTGACCCAGGCTCTTTTCTTGTACTTTCTTCCTTGTGCCGATCCTTGACGACTGGCAGGACTTTGGGGCGGCCAGACGGGTGTGTGCTGGTGGCTGTGGAGGGGGCAGGTATTCTAGCAGGGAAGGAGCTGCTCCCTCCGGGAGAGGAATCCCAGAATGGGCGAGCTAGAAAATTCTTTAAAGGCCTCCTCCTCCAACCTCCTCATTTGACAGAAAGAGGAAACTGAGGCCCAGAGGTGGAGAAGGGTCTTGGCCTGAGGCCACGCAGGCAGTGAATGGCGGGGCGAGAAGTTGCCTCCTGGTTCTCTGAGTCCAGAGTGGGTGTGGGTGATTCGTGCAGGAGGCTGGCAGACCACTGGGACAGCGGAGCTTGGCCGGCGCTGTCCGGGGTCCTGATCGAGGGGTCCCAAGCCTGCTGACTGAACTTCTCCATAGGAGGAGAAGGCCAGGCGAGAGGAGGAAGAAGCCAAGCGAAGGGCAGAGGATGACCTGAAAAAGAAGAAGGCTCTCTCATCCATGGGGGCCTCATACAGCAGCTATCTAGCAAAGGCAAGTGAAGCTCTCGGGGTCTTCACTCCCTCCCTACTGAGGCACAGCCTTGGGTGGGGGGCTCCCAGGAGGCTGTCCCTAATGGCCAGATTCCGCTTTTCCTCCCCAGGCTGACCAGAAGAGAGGCAAGAAACAGACTGCCCGTGAGATGAAGAAGAAGGTCCTGGCTGAGAGACGCAAGCCGCTCAACATTGATCACCTGGGCGATGACAAACTGAGGTGTGCGTGTGTGTGTGTCTGTGTCTGTGTGTGTGTGCGTGTCTGTGTCTATGTGTGTGTGCGCGCACACACGTGTGTGTGTATGTGTGTGCACATGTGTGTCTGTGTCTGTCTGCGCGTGTACACACATGTGTGTCTGTGTGTACACGTGTGCCTGCGTGCGCGCACATGTGTGTCTGTGCGCATATGTGTGTGCGCGTGTGTCTGTGCATGCGCGCACCGCGCGTCTGTGTCTGTCTGCATGTGCGCGCACACGCGTGTCTGTGTGTACACGTGTGTGCACATGTGTGTGCATGTGTGGGTGCGCGTGTGTGCACTGTGTGTCTGTGCAGGTGTGCACTGTGTGTCTGTCTCTGTGCGTGTGCATGTGTGTCTCTGTGTACGCATGTGTGCACGCGTGTGTCTGTGTGAACATGTGTGTGCACACACGCATATGTATCTGTCTGCGTGTGTGCACATGTGTGTCTGTGTCTGCATGTGTGTCTGCATGTGTGTGTGTGTATGTGTGTGTGCATGTGTGTGTGTGTTTGTGTGTGTGTGTGGTGTGTGTTTCTGGGGCACCTCACATGCCAGAGAACAGCACCAGAGAGGGCCATGGCATTTAGAGCCTGAAGGCACCTGAAGGAAAATCTCGTCCACCCCTCCCGTTTTATAGAGGCCCAGGGAGGCCCAGGGACACTCACCCAGCCAATCGACAGCAAAGCTGGGATGTCCTTTCAACAATCCAGAGCGCCTGCTTTATGGTCCTGACTATGGGGGTTGTTGGTAGGAATGACCTGGAAGACAGGAGACATCCCTGGGGCCCAGGAGCCACCACAGATGGTGGCTGGGCCTTGAAGAACAGTGAGGCCTTCCTAGGGGAGGGAGAGAAGGGAAGGCCTTCCTGGCAGAGGCAGCTGCTTGAACAAAGCCATGGGAGTGGGAATGAGTCTGGGCAGTTCAGGCCCATGAGAGGGTCTGGCTGGAGGGGAGGGGATGGACTGGGGTGCTGGAGAGGACAGGTCCGTCCAGCCTGGGAGGGAGCCTTGAATGCCGGTTAAGGGGCTGAGGCAGTGCCAGACGGGGTAATGATGACTGCCCTGAGCACCGCAGCTGTGGGCTTGCATCCTGGCTCTGGCCCATGCATGCCTGAGCCGCTTCCTGCTCTCTGGGCCTGTCGGCTCCCCCAGTAAATGGGCTGAGGCCAGATAATCTATGAGCTCCCCTCCCACCCTGGCATCCTGTGTGCCTGGCATCGGTCGGAGGCCAGATTTGTTGCTTTCCATCCTTCCTGGAGGATCGCCCCTTCCAGCAATCCCCAAGGCTCCTCTTTCCACGCCCTCTGATTAGGTAGAGGAAAGTCAGGCCCAGGCCTGGCCAAAGTGGAGGTGGGCTCTCTGTCGTAGCACTGGGGCTCACCTGTCCCTGAGGCTTCATGTGTGCATGTCTCTACCTCCCAGGGACAAGGCCAAGGAGTTATGGGATACACTCTACCAGCTGGAGACTGACAAGTATGAATTTGGGGAGAAACTGAAAAGGCAGAAGTATGAGGTGAGTGACCACACCGACCTCTGGGCAGCCCCCATGGGCTCATCAACCAGTACTGGCTCAGGGCTGGCCTGGGCTATTCCACAGAGGCTGTGGGCCAGTGCCCATCTTGGCCAGCCTCCTCTGCCGGGCACTGCTGGTTTCCAGGCCTTTCCTTTGGCCACCCCAGGCCTGACCCGTGTTGCCTCTTCCAGACAGGCCCCTGGCCTGTTCCCTGGGTTCCTGGCATGACCTTGAACAGAGAGATCCCTTTCCCAGGAGGGGCCAAATTGCCTGCAGTTCACAGAACCCCAAAGTGGACCACGGAGGTCATGAAACCCACCCTCCTAACTCAAGAGACCTTGCCAGGAACCTAGCCTGGGCAACCACCTCGAGTAACAAGGCTCTCCCTCCCTCCCAATTCAGTTTGCTCTGTTCTTGAGCGGTTCTATCAGTAGAAAGCTCTCTGTGGTATCAAGCTGAAATCTGCCCACGTCCCTCCCCTTGCCCTCTGGGGCCCCACCAGACATGTCTAATCCCTCACCCACGTCACAGCCCTTCAAATATTTGGCCATCACAGGGTTGATCCCCCTCCTGCCCAAGGTCTTCTCTCTTCTAGTGCAAACATTCCCCACTCCTTTGAAAGACCCTCTTTCTGGAACTGTTCCCAAGCCCTGGCCCCCCTCGGCCCCTGTCTTTGGACCTACTCCAGCTTCCTTGCTGTGCAGCATAGCCTGCCCTCCAGACATAGATGGGGCAGCCTCTGTGGAGGGAGTCTGAGGTGGCATCTACTTATCCCCCTCAACCAGCAACCAAGCCACTCACCTAGTACCCAGGGCTGTTTGGTGCCCATCTCTGCTGTACCTGGGAGCCTGGGTTCTGTAAACTTGACCTCAGGCAATGCGGGAAGTTGTAGGCAGAGTCGTTCTCTGAGCTAAGCTCTGGGTGTCTAAGCCTTTCTCTCTAGGAAGACCCTGTTCACACATATCCAACCCCCCTATCTGCCAAAGCTGGGACATCACCAGGCTGGCTCATGTCCTCCCCTCCACAAGAGCCACAGCTCAGGCACCAAGGTCTGTGCCATGGCCAGGGTTGGCATAAGTCTCGGGCCCAACCTCCCCCTTGTCCTGCTCAGACATCATCAAGGCTAAGCTACACGCTGAGTCTGAGAATGGTCAAGTGGGAAAGGACCCAGGAGGGCCTGGATCAGGATGCCCAGCTAGGTTTTCCTTGCAGTCTCTGCACTGAGGACCTGTCTACTCCTGGAGCAGTTCATTCCATCATTAGGCAAATCGAATTGTTAGGAAGAAACTGAGCCAGAAATAGGCTCCCCAGAGCTCTCCCTACTTCTCCCCATTCCTGGGTCTAGCCTCTGGGGCCAAGTAGAGCAATGTGCTGATGTTGAAGACCCCCCTCCCCAGCCAGGGCAAATCTTCCCACTCTCACAGTTTTGGGTGCCCATGAACCTCACCACTCAAGACCTTGGGAGAAAGCCAGTCTGAGCTGGTGAAATGGCTGGATTCTAGATTTAAAAAAAGCAAGCAAGCGAGAAAGAAAGAAAGAAAGAAAGAAAGAAAGAAAGAAAGAAAGAAAGAA